CTCTACTGACAACATGATCTTTATTAACAACTTGCTCCCTGGTTTAACGTAACAAGTATGCAATGTGAGGTAGACGTGTTCACAACTTTGGTAGGTGGGTTGGCACAGTTTCTTTGGAACCTGTACGGGTGTAATGAGGTGCAAATCTCCAAAGGCTTTATACTTAGGTTGGGTTTCCATATGGATTTAGAATGTATTCAAACATCTTGAATAAATTGAGAAGAGAGCAGCCTTCCTCAAGATATTTGGCACTTCAGATGCAACCAGAAACCAGAAGTGGGAAAGACTTACTGAAATGGTTCTAAACTTCAAAAAACAGTGCAATTGGGAGGCAGTTGTAGGAATGGGAAGGTGCAAGGGTTATTGAAAACACAGAAACCTGTCTGCATGTGACCATCCAGTTCAAACCTCTGTACCACCAAATCCCTTCAACACTTTCTCCAGCTTATTTAGCTTCCCTCGTGCTGAACACTCAGAAGAGTTACAGCACCAAAATTTATTCATCTTATCCTTCTTGAATATCAACATTAAGTTTTGGTATAAAGATGAATGAAAAGGCTTTTTCATGCCTAGAATTGAGTCCAGAGTTCTGGATTCCTTCTGCAACAGCAGATAATTTTGCTCACACCTAAACCATATGCTCTATTTCATGTATTAGTTTCTCATACAGTAGAAATCCAGAGACACACAGTTAGGACCTGGCAATAATAACAGGGGTGCTGATTTGCAGACACTTGATTTTAGAACAAATTCAGTAGAAATTTATATATATCAAAGTATTCTGATCTTGCAGCTAGTTCCTATTTTTCATATGGTCAAGCCCCAGATAATTGCAGTGAGTGTGTGATTGTGTATTTAAATGTTGTGTTTCAAGCCCATTTCCAGAGTTAAATTGAATGTGCAAGTCTATCTGTATTGGGCTGAATCTGGTCACACACTGAGGCAGGTCAGAGGTAACTGTACTGAAGTCAATGGGACTGACCCTAACCTCATAACTTCTGTATCAGTTGAATTTCACTTACTTCAATGGAGTTGATTTTGATTTATACTGATTGAATGAGATCAGGGTTAGACTTTAAGATTTAAAGTCTTTATATTTATTTTGATTTTAGTAAAAATCCCCATACGGCCATTCAGAAATAGGTGAGATTTTTCTGCTAAAAGTGCCGGTTAAATTTCTTTAAAATAAACACATGAAAGTTTTTGTATTTTCTCTGTATCGAAATGCATGTTGTTAGCTAAGAGAGAGAGGAAATATTCTGCAGCATTAAATTGTATTTTACGGTTAAATCATCTGGAAGATCTCCATATGTCATATTTACATTCACTTCCTATTTAATGCAATACAGATTTTTTACATGCATCAACCTTGAAAGAAAACAGCATATGGAGAAGACTACGTAGTTATTTTGTTTAATGAAATGGTATGCTTTTGTTTTGCAAAAGAAATTTAATAGGGAAAGTGCAAGACCCTGAAACAAGGCAGTGTTTCTTTAAATCAACTCTTTTCCAGTTTCATTGCCCAGCTCAAGCTGTGAAATAGTCCCAGAAAATGGGAAGGTTTCATGTATTCCATCCAAGTCACTGATTTATCAAATTCAGTAATCACAATGAATGAACAAAAAGTTGCACTTGAATACTTGATACTCAAGCTCAAATATCCCGAAATGCCCTTTTATGGTCCCTGTGCTTGTCTTAAAAATGCAAGTCACTTAAATTCCACTCTGAAATGCTTCTTGATAATCAACTGTTGTAACCTAGGATGATGTATAAATGCTGGGGTTTTGAGCATAACCCAGTCATCTTCATGGTTAAAATGTGCAGTAGTGCCTGTTTCTATTGACAAAAGGAGGATTATTTCAGAGATTGTAGGAGGTGGCAAGATAAAGAATGAATCTGTGAGCTTCTAAGAAAGAGATCTGGAGCTATATCCTGCTCCTAGTTAGAACTATAAAATTACTCTGGATTTTATAAATCAAGATTTAGCCTGAAGAGTTCTCTGTACTTTGTGTTGAGGCATCTTGAACTGATGGAGCTGTTGTGGAGCCACATGATTACAAATGACAAAAATGCAAAGAATGAAGTGTAGCTATGTTTGTAAAAAGGAATGCTACAAACAGATTAGCTTTATAAGTCAACCATCACATTCAGATCTGGTGGAAGTAAATGCAACTCCTATGGAAATGTCTGGGTGGCATTCAGTATGGTACACAGAAAGTAAGCTGGCCAGAAAAAAAGACAGTCCTAGCTCTCTCTTACTACTGTTCCAAGGAAAGCCTGCATTTTTGGGCTTGGTTCCCTGGGCTTTAATGGAGTAGGTTTGGAGGTATATCAGTATTCTTCCAAGATGGTTCATTACCAAAAAGCTCAACAGAAAAACAGTCAAGTTTCCGTGTATTTCTGTGTGGCTGTGTGTGTTCAGCACCCTGTCTCGTGTTCACATTAATCACTGCTTCATTAATCACTGCGTCATCAAAAACTGGTGCATTAATTTGCTGCTGAATGTTTTGGCAAGAAGGCTGCTCTTCACAAATGAGGATGTTACAAAAGATGCCTACCAGTGCCCAGTTTCTACAATGAATGACACTCATCTGCAGGCAAAATATGCTGAAGTGCTTAAAGGAGGGAATGACCAGTAATGCAAGAATCCCACCAGACTTTGGGGACACATGAACTCCATTTACTCTTCCTTAAATAACAAAAAAAAAAAAAAAATTTTTTGTGTTCTTGACTGTTTGGTCAGTATTAAAAAAACCTGTCCAATGCTGAGTAATTGCAGCTGGGGTCTGGAAGCATCCAAACAGTGTGTTCCTGATACCATACATGCCTCACAGCTTGCAAAGACTGGTTAGACACAAGCTGATCAATATGTCTGAATTTACACACTGCATTAAGCTGCATTGAGTGTGTTTATTGTCTTAAATCACTCATGTATACTAATTCCCTAAATCTCCTTCTCTTGCATGGTGTAAATACAGCCTATGCAACATGATAGATTTTTTGCATGTTTGAGACACGCAGGTGAAGGTATTTCTCTTCCATTTTGAGACGTTTTCCCAATTCCTTCATTTCAAAGTTTTGTTTCAAGCAAAAATCTTCTTCAAACTCCTTGCCTTGATTGTCCTTTTGCATCACAATGTGGTTTTGAGCTAAGTCTCCTTAACAACCAACTCATGACTACTTTTTTACAGCTGTACCAGCAAGAGGGGTCACACTGAAGCACAGGCACAGACTTAAAAGCTAGGCTTTATCTAGACCCTACTGTCTGCTACCTATACCAACATCATTGCAGATTATGAGCATTCACTTGGCACTGCCTGCTACTGTTGATATGATGTGGTCTCCACTCCCTTCCCTATATTCTGCAGACAAGTAACTAATCAGCCTGACTGTTTGCTGAGTTGACAACTCCAAGAACCAGATGTTAAGTTCTAGAATTTATTTTTCCAGTAGGGTCATTTAGGTCTCCAATTTGTTTCCTAGCTCTTCTTAAGTCTTTTATCTGCCTTCTTGGCTGATTTCCATCAAAACAATAAAGCATTTATAAGTCTTATTTTCCCCATAATCATAATCTCCAAGTGCAATTCCAAGAAGTCCCCTGTGTAACGATGTGAAGGTTTTATTTTCCTTGCGAAAGCTGTGAATGAGGTACAGGTTTTGTTATGTCAGATAGAATATTCGTATCTTGTTTATAACTGCTCAAAAGAACATACTGTGAAGTTTCATTCACAGAATCGACATTTCACATTTATCAGAACAGGATTTACACTCTGATGTTTGCACAATTACAAAATTTATCTCTGATGGGTGGAGGAACAAGTTTGTTTTGGGTGGAGTGAATCCATCAAAGTCTCCATGGGGAGCAAAGAAAGGACAAAAAAACCTGGGATAGCCTTTGCAATCATACTGATAACCGACAGTCACCCTGAAAACACTGGGGAAAAAGAAATTAAACACCATGCATTTTCCTACTAAGGCTCTTATTCTTTCCTTACTTTCATCCAGAAACTAGTTTTAGATAGAAAAAACTTGCAAGAAGTGCATATAAAACTTTTTAAGAGTGCAGGCTCTGGTTTATACACAATTGTCTGCTGCCTCCTTTTCTGAAGTGGCCTATATGCTAATGTCAATTTGCAGCCAGTGTAAAAGTTCCGCTTTAAATTACAGGAACTACCAATCTTAAGGGTTTTCTTTTGCTCCATGAGTGCTAACGTATCCATGTTCTATTCTACTCCTTATTTTCAATGGTGTTGCATGAGGAGGAGCAAATCTTGCATAACATATGTGGACAGACCAGTATTCTGTGATTGAGTTCAACTGCTGGGGGTGACTTCAAAGAATCATGGTCAGATTCAGGTCTGGAGTTCATCAGAAATTTGAAATGCTTTTCCAAGGTATCAGAAAGGACAAAATCCTGTAAGTCTGTAAAATAGCCACAAATCTTGTAAAAAAGCTTTTTTTAACTGCAAGTCATCTAATAATTTTGTTGCCAGACTCTTACATTTTTGTGTAGAAAGAACAGCTGTATGCCTTCAATTAACATAATTTTGATTTTAGATTAAAACAACAAAACAAGGAACAATGCAGAGTTTCCATGGAATACCATAATATCTATATCTTCTTTACCTTTAGTGAACTATGTAAGAAAGTGAGTGCCTCTGTCTTTTCTTCACTTGAATAGGAAAACCAATAGAAACATTCCAAAAGGTTAAATATTGGTTTTGACTTTGTAACTTAAGTGAGAAGAAATTTCAGGTTACAGCTATTCACCTTTCTGAACAGATTAATTCTACCTCACTTGAAATCTATCATGTAGATCTTAAAATAAAAACAGAAAACAAATTAGTTTTCTGAAAGTCGTGACATTTGTTTCCTGATGGTAAATATAAAAACAGTGATGTTTATATCATTGTCAGAACACTAGCAAGAATTTCTATCCTCCCTTTTGCCTACATGGGAATGATTATAACAGGAATTTGTCCACTTTGTGTCTTTTCCAGATATGGATGTCAGAAGAAGAAAACGACATGAGACAAGTGTTATTTTATGCCCTGAACACACCACTTTACATGGTGGCTTTTAGCACTCTGTTTACAGAAAGCTAAACTTTCATGTCTTAGAAAGGAAATAGCTACAGGAGCCAATTAAAGGACCAAACTGCTTTCTTAAAATGTACCAGAACCTTAACAAAGTCCGCTAAAATATGACTTTCAGGAGGACATGAGCAATTGTTATTTGAAATCCAACAACACCACCAAAACTTTCTAGCCCTGTTTTGATGTTCCTCCTCTATTAGGAAGCTTATAATTAGTTTATGATACATTTATAAAGAATCAAGAAGTAATCAATGAAGAAATTAGTGACATTTTAGTGAATAATTAGTGAATAATTAATAAATAAATGAATGAAGACATAATCTTCATTAATTATAAATGGCATGATATGATTGATAGCCACACTATCAATCCCAAAGCCATTTAGGTAGAAATCTCCTCTGCTTGAAACAATAGGAACTACAAAAGAATATTCAAGCTCTCTTCAAGGTATTGAAAGATTGTGCATCTATTGCAGGCCACTGCTCTGGTGTCCTAACTTTCATTTTATAAAGACTTGCAGTATTCTGACTTACAGAACAAAATAATAGCTTTGAATTGTAACAGTAGGTTATGCAAATAACATATAACCTTGACTGATCAGAAAATCTTGTAATATCCTAGAATAATGGACAAGTCTGAAAAGAACTTTTGCTTAGTTTTCTTTATCTTTCTTTATCCATTACAAGGTAGTGGATGACTGACCGCAGCCATGATTTTAGAAGATAATATCTTCTTTAAGAGCAACTTCTATGGGTAGAAGAGACAGTCATGGCTTTGGCCATGCAGATTCTTAAAGAGAAACAACAGTTTCTAAGCAATAGTAGATGCTGAGAATAACTGGTCTGAATTAAACTTGTGTTAAGCAGACAATTTGAAAGAAACAGTTGTTTGTGGCATTGGAGAAATAGGAGGTCTTATCGTCGAGAGAGGCAATCATATGGTTATCTCCAACAAAACCAAAGAGACATCCAGGTAATTACTGGCCACTAAAAACCGAGAGGATGAGTGGAACTGTTATAGTATATCCTGTGTAATAAAACCAATGTCTGCAATCAATATGCACATTACAGTGCCTAGTAGAACTTTCTTCTGAAGACTGACTGTCCTATTTAAGTGGGTCTCCACTGAGGGCAAAAGAGACTGAGAAGTCATAGTTGTAATAGTTGTTTTCTGAAAAGTATTATTTTCATCAGTAACTGGATGTTTCAGTATAAAATCAAAAGATACTGGATTTATACTATCAATGTTAACTCTACTGCTAACATCTTCTGCGTGCTACAGACACTGACATTTTCTTCCAAATCTTCTGAATTATATTATTAAGTACTTACTTTTCTACTTCCATTGCAGACTTAAAGCAGTGCTTATGCATCTGGAAGATAGACTAATTTGGTCCAAATTATTATTTTGTTTGACTTAAAAAAACCCTCTTCTTTTTCCTGTGAGTTTTGCCTTATTAGAAGAGTTGTTATGTCCACAGAGGATTTGGTCCAAAGCCCAGTGAAGTTAAAGGACGCTGTTTTAAATCAAAGTAATGATTGAGATCTGGATCAAGCTTGCAGTGAGGTAAATTAAATCCAGTGTTTTTGCAAAAAAAATGTAATTGCTTGCTAGATTCCTATCAGGAGACAAGCTGAATTTGCCTTTGTAGTCTGTTTTACCATCTTAGATACGTCTATTTATCAATGTGTATTTAAACTTCCTGCAATTATACTCATTTTAGCCAATAACAGTGTAACTTATTTGCTTTCTTTTGCTGTTTTCATATGCCACTCCTGACTCTAAGCTCTTTCATAGTTTAAAATTCATAGCTAAACTTATAAACCCTCTTGTAACCACTTATTCAATTATCCTGATATTAGAGTGCCTATTAAGAGCAATAAAACTAATACTGCAGACCTTGAGACTCCATCTTGACTATCCTCGTGTCTACATTTTCACTAGGTAAGAGCTCATGATTCTCCCAAGTACACTTTAAAATTTACAGATTATCATATTCAGTTGCATGCACTGAACTCGATAGAACTTTCTTACTAGAGTAAGCAGGAGGAGTTTTCACTGTAGCTTCTTATGCACACTTAAAAAACTCTAAAACTTCCTCAAATCTAATGACTAATCCATGTTCTTTAGATTAGCTGTTGTTTTAGGATAAGAAAATTGCATAAATTGAAGAGCCAAAATGGATATATTAGTTGTGAAGCTCTTCTTGTAAATCTAGGATTCTGCATCATGCAGAGTGAAGGCCTGGGTACTTTATTTTTCTCTCGCTGTGAGAAAAAAGACATCAATTGGGAACATATTCCTACATGTATAAATAAGGAAGGTCATGCAACTTAAGTCACCAGACATGGCATTTTAAACATATACATTCACTTCTTCTGTGGATTATTTTGTGAGGTTGAGAGACCTATCATATCCCTCTGTATTTCAGTGTGCCTTCCACAAAATAGGAATAGTAATATAACTCACAGTATGGCACGAAAGCTATTATCAGACAGTGTGGCAGTGGCATCATATAAACCTATGCACAAAAGGAGTTTATTTTTTGTGCCAGATCAACAACGACAAGAAAAGTGTTGCCTAGAGTCAAAGTCTAGTTCTGCTAATTTCTGCTAATGCTACTGATGTAACTTTCAGCAGCAACTGGATGAGAATCTTGATGAAACTCGTTTTGACTCTTTCAACAGAACACTTTGGTAGGATTGGTTAAAAATAACAGTTTACTACCATTCCCACATTCAAACTAGCTTGGTATTCTTGCACAACAACATCAACACAATCACAATAGCACGGGATTTCTCACAGCTGTAAACCCATCCCAGGAAACCAGGAAACTGGGTCTTTTTCAGGTAGTAAATTGATACTGCTTTGTCTTCTGCGGTTGTATTTCTACCTGGGTGGAACTGAGATTCAAATAGTAGATATTTAGATTTAGATGTCTAACTACAAACTCAGTATGAAGGCTTCTAGTATAGCCAGAGGAGCTGAACGGTTCAATCCACCTGGACACAAATTGCTGTCAATATTATTTATTATACTCTTAGGTTTTCCATGAGACACCCAGCTGCCAATCCAGAGGGCAGAGGATTCCTGTGAATCTTGTGTCACATCTTTCCAGCCCTGTATGGTTGTTTAAGGTACCCCTGGACTTCTCAGTTGGCACTTGATGTTTATTTTCAGGACACTGAACCAAGCCCCCCCTTTGATTGTCAAGACAATCAAAGACATTTTAAGACCTATTCAGCTCTGTATGAAGCAAACTTTTACATCTGGACAACTGATTCTCTTTCTAGAGTTGCTGACAGTAATGACAGCCTAGATGTCTATCTTGCATGTAGGTGCCTGTGTTTAGACATCTAAATACAGATAGGTACCTACAACCTACAACTGAATCGCAGTATTGTGTTTACTATTCTTGATTATGATAACGATGTGACCTAAAAGGATAAATCACTTAATTACAGAGAATGAAAAGATACATCCTGGCAGGAATTTTTGGCATGGTCTGTCTCAAACCCCAAAAGAAGCTGGGGCAGCAAATGTTAAGATGGTACTTACTGCAGTCTGAACTCTGGTCAGTAAGAAACAACTGAAACATTAAGATGAGGAGCCTGAGCGACAGAACAGGTGAAGATGCTTGTACAAGTTATTGAAAGGAATTCTTTCCATATTCAATTCCAGTCCTACACAGGAAAAGCAATTTCTGTAGTCATATTACAGGCAGAACTAGTAGTAGGATTGCTGTTGTGGAAGGTACAGGCAGTCTGTGAGTGATTGTAAGTGACTGAGCTACCATAGCTTCACTAAATCACTTAGGACAGTACAGGTGAGGTAGGTAGAATTGCAGAAAGTCAGTTGGTATTATTATAAGAGCAGTTTTGGAATGTGATTAAAAGCAACTTCCTACTGAGAACTAAGTGCTACTTCAGTCTTCAACCTTCCCAGATAAATAAATCAAGCCTAAAAGAAAATGTGTTTTCGTGCATGGTAAGTATTAACTATAATACTGTCAGTCATACTGTGCTGTTTATTCTCCTGTGACAATGGCACACTGACACACATACAGGTGGTTGACACACCACCTGTTTTGTGTCTGCTGCTTCACAGACTTCAGACTTGCAATTTTAAACCCTACTGACATCCTTTGAAGATTAAATGAAACTGTTTACAGCACAGATTTCTAAATAATTCTGCCTTCATATTTCAGACCAAATGTAGCTCAAGTTAAAAAGAAAACTTTACTAAGCTACTGTCAGAAAATGTGTTTCAAAGGTATAAGGAGTTTTGAAAACTATGACAAAAACTGACTTGGATGGGATACGTTTTGGCAGGAAAGCTTTTGTGTTTACATGTTATACTGTTAAGATGCTCAATCACATTGAACAAAGATGTACTTAATACAGAGTGACTTCCTCTCATTTCAGTTAAAATATGAATTAATTTCTGAGGTTCCTTTGTTCTTCAATAGATGTAAATGACAGCCTATGCAGTTCTATTGCTTTTGCCCTTGTCATGAAAGTGCCAAGACAATTATTCCTTAGAAGTTTGAACAAGAACGCAAAAACCAAATAATGGTAATTTCATCTAATAACGATTGTTTCTGAATGAAATGTTGCCTTTTATATTATAAATCCCTATTACTAAACTGAAATAAAGAAAGAGAAGGAAGAATATTTTGCACCAAAAAGGATTAAAATTTACTATTTTGAAAGCAGATAACTGAGAATGGTGCATTTCTTCCCAAATTCCTATTATATAATTTTTCTGTGTGTGCTTTAGATAAGGTCAAACATCAGTCGGATCTTGCGCTAGGAATGCTTATGGCACCAGTTACTTTTGAGGGTTTACTTTGGGACCTTTTATGTGAATGTGATATAGAAAGATTTCAGTGTCTGAGAAAATTTGAAATCACGGTGGAACTAAATAAGAATTAAAAGATTAAGAAAAAAAAATTATTAATAAACTATTAGTTTGATTCCTGAGCAAGCTAGGAAATCAGTGAATTATCTTTCGATAAACAGAAGGATAGAGTTGATCTATCTGTTTACTGGGGTAAGTACTCTTAGCCAATAATTAGTACAAATAGAAGGCGCGATCATCTTCTGATTTAGACCAAATTAATTTCTCAGAATTCAGCTGAGCTCCTTCCATAAGCACAGGTACATGCTTGTTAGCAAGTTATACTTCTCACATACCCCAGACATACTGTTTTGGACTGTTGCAAATGCCATCATCTGAGAGTAATTCAAAGAAGCTCGGCTGAGTGCAATTGGATCCATGAGAATTCAGAACAGTTGGAAAACATGAGAGATATTGGCTTTGGTTTTGATCAGACATTATCAATTCAACACACAATTCCTAAGGGATTATTATGTGTAAACAGCATATTCTGCTTCTTTAGTTTTCATTCATGAGTGGTGTAGATTTCAGGGAGTGTCAAGATGGAGCTTTTCACATCAGGAGACTGGCACACTTTGAGAGTTGAGAAATTTGGATTGGAGTCAACGCTGTTCAGCTGAAGCATTTAAAAAACTCCATTTGGTGATGGGCAATGGAGAAGATTATGAGAGCTGCCAGAAAGGCAGACTTAACAACAGTATTATCTATGGAGAATGTTTGGCAGTGAGTCCACATCCAGAGCCAGCTCTGGGGATACCCCAGTGGGAAGGTTACATGGAGGACCTGAGAAACCACCCAGGGGAATGTGTGGCAGGGATATCCATGAAAAAGACTGCAGCACCAGCGTCTGATACCTGAGATAGGATATGTGTTCAAACACAGTCTTCCACTGTGCATAGAAGTACACCTAGGTTGGTTGTCCAGGTTTGCTTTACAAATAATGCAGAGAAGGAGCAGTCCTACTGCCATTTGCAGGATGATGTCCATGTAATTTAGATAGCCACATCTCGTAGGTGCCTGTTTCTCTGCATTGGATAAAAAAGAAACCTACACAGCCAGCTCAGATTACAGAGCTTTCATTAAAGACTCCTGAAGTTGGGTGTGGTGGTTTTTTACCTAGCAGCTGCTGAAGCTGTGGTGGTATTTCAAAAGGACTTCAAATGATGTTCAGGGTATGTTGTGGTCCCGGTGAGGGAAGTGGTGGAAGTGCCAGGCAATAAATGCAGAACACTCCAGATTTTGTGGAAATTAGTGACATTAAGTGGCTTTTCTGAAAGAATAATTAGAAAATAAAGAGCAGAAAAAAGACAGTGTCACTGGCCAGCTGGTGAACAGTCCGTGTTTCTGGTACAGGGTAATGCAACACTCTTGAGTTTAAGAAGCTGCGCGCTTTTACACCTGATCTGAATTTGACCTTCTATACCATACTATTTCCTTTTAGTTGCTGCAGGTTGAAAGGGATGAGTAATTTAATGGGGCCACTGTTCCTATGGAAACTATCTCCTCAACACCCATGTGCATAGCACATTTTCTTCTTATTTAGCCTTCTCATTCAGCAGAAAATAACTGTTGCAGCTGGTGTGATGCTATACACATGTCCTGTAAAATTCTTTAACATTTAATACAACAGCCTTATAGATAAACTTTTTTCTGAAACACATTAATTGCATGGTTGTTTTTGTCTATTGCTACATTGCATCTAAGGAGTGTACAATTTTCTATCTGGCTGTTCATGCTCTATTTAAATATACAGTGATCCCACAGAATAAGTTCAGTCCTTACTTTTATCTGTGTTCCCTCTCTCATGAGAATCTTTCACATCTCTTTAAAAGATCAAACTCAGACCACTAATCATTCCACGTAGCATTCACTGCCCTTCCAGTGGGAAAATCTCTTCACCTCCGCACTGTGCAGTTACTGATAACAGTCCCTGTCAGGTTGAATTAGAAAAATTAGTAAATTTTATACTTGTTTATTTTGGCCATGTCACTGCTCCAACATCTCTTTAATCC